CAGCTCGACGTTCTGGAAAACCTGTTCTCCAAGACCCGTTACCCCGATATCTTTATGCGAGAGGAGGTGGCCCTGAAGATCAACCTGCCCGAGTCCAGAGTCCAGGTGAGAATCCCACCAGGACCGTAACACCACCAACCCACATAGACCACGATCGAGAATCAACAAGTGACGACTTTACGTATATACAACTTAACTGTATTTTCAAATGATAAAAAAATGATGCACACACGCGTTAAATATAACACAATTAGAAATATATTATATACTTGAACATACTGTTAAAAGTGAGTTAAAACTGATTTAAAAATAACAGGATAAAGAGAATGTTTTTAGAGATTTTCTTTTAACGAAGTTTAAAGGTCAGCTTTTGGATTCAAAATTTAAAAAACATGAACTGAAGAGTTTTGGGTTATTATTTAAACGCACTGGCATAAAAAACGCAAAATATTGTAATATAATATGGTTAAATATGGATTTATTTTATTTTTGTTGAAAATATTTTTTTTTAATCCAATTGTGTTATGGACCAATGTAATAATATTTCTTATGTATTGCATATATATTTTCTAATTATTTTCTGTTCTTTTATTTTAGGTTTGGTTCAAAAACCGGAGGGCCAAGCATCGGCAGCAGGCCCAGCAGAGCCAGACAGGAGTGCAGAACAAGGCCGTGAACAGGCCGGTCAAAAAGAAAGGATCTCCGCTCAGAGAAACCGGTTCAGAGAGCGGAGCCAGCGGCCAGTTCACGCCGCCCTCCAGCACCACCCTCCCGTCTGTGAGCAGCAGCGCAGCACCGGTGTCCATCTGGAGTCCGGCCTCCATCTCGCCTCTCCCTGAGCCTCTCTCCGCATCCTCCTCCTCTTCATCATCTTCCTCCTGCATGCAGCGATCATATCCCATGACCTACAGCCAGGCCTCGGGCTACAACCAGGGATACACGGGCTCCTCCTCTTACTTCACCGGGATGGACTGCGGCTCCTACCTCTCGCCTATGCACCATCAGCTTTCCGCCGCTGCCGCAGCGGGCGCCGCCATGAATACCATGAATAGCAGCGGCGTGTCCGGCCACCTGAACCCGGCCTCCACGCTCTCCTCGTCGGCGTACGGAGCGGCGGGACTCGGTTTCAGCAGCGACTGTCTGGACTACAAGGACCAAACGGGTTCCTCGTGGAAGTTCAATTTCAACACGGACTGTTTGGATTACAAAGACCAATCTGCGTGGAAATTTCAAGTTTTGTGAATAATAAAAAATAAAAAATAAAAAACTAAAGGGACATTTCCACAAACTGCAGAGAAGTCAGTGGTAGAGTTGCAGGCTGTGGCCCCTTAAGGCCCTCACTTCTACCTCGGAGCAGAGCTGCCCGTCTGGTGTCTCATCCTGTTCATGGTCATTTACCATTCAGACTCAGTTGTCCAACTTTGATCAAGGACATGGAACAAATGTGTTGACAAAGAGAGACGAGGATCAGAAGAAAGAGCAGAAGGAAGCAGGTCTACCTTGGCTGAGTTTGAGGAATAGGTCCGGTTTTCTTCTAAGCTCCTTAAAAGACTGCTGTTTTTTTTTTTGTTTTTTTTTTTTTGTTGTTGGCACAAAGAAGCTTTGATCAAAGCTCAGTGCGTGTGTGTGTTAGAAAGAGAAAAGGAGAGGGAAATGGCAGCTCTGACATAAACCTGGATGCACTATTTAATTTATGAAAAATATGTTTAAGGCTAGTTATACAAGACAATCAGTTTGTTTGTGTGTTCTCATAAATGTCCTCTGAGTGAGTGTGTATGTGATTTGTGTGTGTGTTCTCTATGATTTATTACATTTTTAGTTAGATTTTTGTAACTGTAATCCCCTGTACTGCCTGAAAACATTTTATTCTGCATACACAGGCCCAGCTGTGATTCTGTTCATGTTATCCCCATGTGTTAGCCTAAGTAAATTATTATAAGGATTCATATTAGTTGGATGTAACTGGAAGTGAAGCCAGTCTCAATGTGGGCTGCAAAGTACAGAGAAGGCCATAAACACAGAATAACAATAAAGTCCACTTGACCTGAAATCTCCACCTTTCACAAATGTTTTCTTTTTTCTGTCTGATGAAACAGTTTTTGTTCACTGCACAACACAATGTGTCACCAAGAAGAAAAAATAATCTAAGTTGTTTTTGAAGCACAAGACAACTTGGCCCACATGTGTAAAAAGTCAAATATTTGGACTGGGGATGATCACACAACTATCACTACACCACCACACCTCCTCCTCTCCAATGCTACATCACATTCTGCCACCACCAGGAATGCAGGTTATGAGGAAGCTGTGCTAATCCCGACTCCTAAAGAGGATAATCCAACATTTCTATTGACGTCTGCTGCTCTGCTTGGTTACGATTCACACAGAGAAATGTGAAATGAGTTCTGCTGCCCTCGGATCCAGAGGCAAACAGGAGCTGGTTGATGTGTGGGGCAGCAGATCTGCAGAGAGTCTATATTTGTAGTTTTTATAAAGCAAGCACTTTTGTAATGTAGAATATATATAGAACCTCTCCATGGTATGGTTCCAAGTAGGATGTGAGACCACTTAATAAAAACTATGGCATGACTTTTTGCTGCCGCTCAATGGCTTCGATGCTGTTTGACCCCACACTTAACGCTTATCATGTCTGAAAACAAACAGCAGAGTCGTGTCGGAGAATGAGAGCTGCAGTCTGTTCACTCAGCCGCAGTGTAAAGGACAGTACAACCAAATTAATATTGATTTTTTTCAAGACAAATTATTATGAGATATAGATTCCAAACCAAATATTCAAGATACCAAAAAACTTGTGCTGAATAAATAGGATTAGGAGATGCAATAACTAACATGTCTGCCTCTCACACAACTAACCATGACTTTTTAATCAAGTCAGCTTTTTCCTTTCCTCTGTCCCTGTATATTTAGAGCTCTGGGATTGGGTTGTCCTGCAGTCAGGGGGCGCCCCCAACTTTATCTATTTTAATTAAGCAGCAGCAACTCAGGGACACATATGGATGGGACAGACGCACAGTATTAATCCTTGCCCCGCCAGCGATAATTTGAAATCAGCAACCTGTTCATGATGTCACGGAAAAGGAAAAACACAGATTGTTCCTTTACTTACATAGTATTAATTCAGACATGGTATTGCAAGTAAATACTTTAATAAAAAGGAAATGAAAATCAATGTAGTTCATGTCCAGTGAAAAGTGGACAATTTTTTAAATGTGTAAACATTTATCTATCCATCATCCATCCATCCATCCAGATTTGACCAAAATCTTTTGACAAAAGCTCTTATATTGCCCAAACCGACAGAATCCTGATTTCACACTGTCTGATAGAGATGTACAATGACTTAACTGAAATAACACATCCATTATTGTCTGGAAAAAAGAAAACAGATGTTTGAGAGATCAGGATTAAAGCATAAAACACATACCATGTCTCTATTTCCTAACAATAAAGCATTAGTAAGCTGCAACAAAGTAACAACGTCCACATTTGCATACACTCCAACCGCCACTCGGTGACGTGGACTGTGGCTCTGGACTGTCTGCAGCTGCTGCATCAGCAGCGATGACAGCGTCAGATAAAACTGAGGAGAGAGTGTCTTCGTGGAGGAGAAGAGACACTGAAGATATTTATGTACGTTGTTGGTGAGAATGTAACCGAAGACTATTGTTATGCATAAGTGTGTGTCCTACATTCCCACAGAGTCCTTGTCCGTCACATATCCCCACACGGTGACACATACATAATTCATCTGCACCGAGTAGAGGAATCCCACCAACCAATGAAACAATAGTGTTTCTGTACTGCTGTCAGACTGGCCGTTGAAGTGCGTTTACATTAAAGTTGATATAAAATAGCTTGTTCAATAAGGTAAAGGCTAAATGTTTTCATTTCAAAAGCATTGAAGGCAACTTGAATAATAATAATAAAAAAACAGGTTCCAGAACTAGCTCAAAAATGTGTGAAATGAGTAATTGCTTAAATTAGTTTAATGTCGTAATATTAAATAAGTGGAATAATGTGGGATCTAAATGACTCGCTTGATGTGAGAGAACAGAAGCAGAACTCCTGAGGGGGAAACCCACATTAGCTGCTGTCACGTTATTAGATATATCCATGCTAATTTATTTTAAAATAAAATACATCTTATATAATTTTTCAATGCCTTATTCCACAACACTATCATGACTGCAATTTTTTAACAAATAAAATGTAAATGTCTTTACAACCTTGACATGTATGAAGGTAGTTAATGGCTAACTATGTCATACTGTATGATACATTGTTATACTGATAAATAGGCAATTCAATAATATATATCATAATATTTATATGTTTATTAACAAGTGGGGAGAAACTATATGGCACCGTGATTTACACACACACACACACTAAGCTGACTACTAATTTGTAGAAAATCCAGGATACGTAAAAAAAAAGTATTGCCAGTAGAGAAATAATGTTTTATAGGTAATTCTTTGTTCATTTACTTCATTTTATTTCCAAAAAAATAATTTTAAATCCAGATCGCTCAATCTTGGATTACATAAACTGTGGAGGTTCTGTCAGCAATTCACTCATAACCATTAAGAAGGCAAAAAAAAACAAAAAACAATCTCCTCCTGACAGGAAGCAGCAGGATGTGTTAATAACAGATTACATCCTTTTAATGTCCCAATTTATATCTGCCTGGACTAAAAGCATTTGGTGCAGCGGGAGGACAGAGGGCACCTCTGTCAGAGAGGCTCCATATGGAATACAAGAAATGTCAGCTAACAGGAACTACAGAAACATCTCCATAATATAGACTGTTTATCACACGGAGCTGTCAATCAGAAAAGATACAATCAATCAATCAATCAATCAATCGATCGATCGATCAATCTATCTATCAGATCATTTCAATTGTGTCTTCTTCCGTTTCCTTCTAACAGAGAATTAACCAGACACATTAGTGCTGACGGCTCACTAAGCGCGCCACTTGTTAGAAACTCATCGACCCCAACTGTCAATCTGCCCTGTGCTGCTGCTACAATGCAAAGGCCAAAGGTCAAGGGGCCTCCCGTTGCTCCTCAGTCAACAGTACAGTGTGAGAGATCTTATGAACCCACACACTGGTTCTCTCTCCTTTGCTACAATAACAGGTCAGTGGGACATAAGCCCACAGAGAGGAAAACACTCTGAGGCCCCGCAACAGCAGCTTCCTGATTTCCATTGCGTTATCGACCCTCATCCTCACTCTGTCCCTGGGCAGATGGAAAGGTAATGCAGGGCAGGAGGAGGACGGATGGATGTGGAGTGTGTCGACAGATGCCTCTCCCCCTGCCCCGCCTCAATTCAAGCCCACCTGTTAAGTGCAGCAGCGAGATTACAGTTCTGAACGCACGGACGGGGAGTGATGTACTGGAAACGATGGCACGTGTGTCGCTGAGGTTCAGTTCTGGGAGTGTGTTTTAGCTGTGGCCACTGTTGCGCACGTGTGTGCTTCAACTGTTATTCCTTTTCTTTGTTGGTAACATATTTTAATTTTTAGCTCCATGAATGAATGACACACATGAACGTGTGAGTGTGAGCACGTTTAGGGGAGCAGGAGGAGTGTGCTCTCGCCGCACCCCCACGGTCGCCACACGCCTGACCACCTGCTCTGGGATTAGAGAGCATGCGGATTACACGCGTCACAATAGAGATACACAAACTGGATTCGGCCTCGGACAACAAAGACTGCACACATTAAAGCCCAGTCCCATCACTAATCACTTTTAGCATCTTCCATATTTTCATAGTAGAGTTAATAATTGCCATAAATCCAGTGTGCTGCTCTGCTCTCCGTGACATAGAAAATGACATTTATGTGTCTGACATCCGAGGCTGTTGTTCATACAGATGCCTGGTTATTTGAGGGCTTGAAATACAAGTCATAGTTTATTATTTCTGATTCAATATTACAGCGCATGAATTAGAAATGCACTGTGGCTGGAAAATTCATATTAAAACAACGAAAAGAAATATTTGCATACAGACTGTAGACTGCTTTGTTTTGGTAATGAGTGTGTATGTGTGTATGTGTGTGTTATTTGATCATGCCAGCTTCACTGTGACCCACAACCACTCTACTGTCCTACTTTTTATAATCATAAAAACACAATGACGTCAGCACAGAGACACCGACAGATGATTCAGAGTCAGATCCTCAACAACAGCCCGGAGGAAGTAGATACATACAAACATCAACAACAGAATTCTTCTTATTACAGTATTAGTTGATTTAATAGCTTCTAGTGGTCTTTTTAAATATATTTTTGCTTTAAATACTAACATTTAGGTTAATTAATATTGGTTTTTAAGATTCCCCCCATGTTTATCAAACTTTCGCCTTTATGTTTTTAAATCGGAGCTTGTCCTTGGTTTGTATTAGTAATGGCTGCACAGGTTCTGAAACAGAGCCATTATTTAACATAATTTGAGAAAACTAAATTTTCAAAAAAAATTTTTACTTTTCGGGCTCTAAAAATTGCAAGTAACTGTAAGGATGTTTGGGGTAAAATCTTCCTCGCCTGAATTTGCCCCACGGGGTCGGTGGGTTTGTTTTGCTAATGACCCCATCCCGTTATGACCTCATTCAGTTTGCACCCAGTAATTGGTGGCACACAGACACACTGTGGTGTCGGGGGAGGGGCTCACACGCCACAGGGGGGCCATCCCATTGTAAACATTTCTCCCTGACAAATAAGGTATTGTTATTGATAATTAACGGCAATGAGTGGCACCCCATTTATGTGTATGTGTGTGTGTGGCCATAGAAAATGACAATGTTTGATGATGTTCAATAAGAGCTGATATTCTTTGTAAGGGTTGACTTTGTAAATAGTAACAGCAAGTTTTTAAAAAAATAATCTTTGGGTATTTTTGAGCAGGCAGCTAAAGGTATCCCCGCCCATTCTCTTTTGGGAAATATTACGCAATATTTGATGGACATTTGGCCCTGTCTTCAGTTCGATCCACATGTTTTCTAAAACAAGGGTTTCAAATCAATGGATTAGGTATTTTAGGTAAGGAATGTTAATGTTTGTAATGTTAAAAATTGAAGTATGTGATTTGAAAGGCATAGTTTTTTTGTGCTTAGCAACGACAGTCTAAGACAAATGACAATAAATGACTTACTACTTATTTTTACATATCATTAACACATCATTGGTCAATCAAAGTTGACTGATGAAGTCTCTACTTATGAGAGTCCGAGGTGAGGATGTCGTCCCTCCACTGCTCTCTGCCCCCCAGCACCAGATGTTATGTCA